AAATTAAGAACTATGTGATAACATTCAACAAGACAACTGCCACATCTCTAAGTTGTATAATATGTGTATAAATTACAAAACAAGTTTCCTACATGTGTGCCATATTACCTACTTGCACCACATATTATGATCTTTATTCCCTTTAAGAATAGTTGATAAGTTATTTCAACCATCAATAGTATTCCATACCATCATATCATGTTGTAATACAACTTTGTGATGAAAGATAAAAATATGGATTTTATTATAGAAGATCCTAGTAGAACCAAAATATGGAAAAAGATAGGGAGGTAATAAAAACTTTTAGTATTAATATTGCTTTTTTACAAAAACAACTTCTATTTACTCTATATAGCCATAAACAAGACATAGTAAAATACATTAATAAGATAAATTATATAGATATATTTAGAAGAAAGTTAAGAGTAGTTTGTAGCAATCATTATCTTAAGAAATCAAGAATTAATACTCAAATAGGACCAATTGGGAACTAAAATTGAAATAAGACCCCAAGGCACAAAACCACAATTCTAAGGCAATTCCATGGTTATTTTGCAAATTAAAGAATAGAACTTGAGAAAAGACTTTAGAAAGATTGTTTAAGCATTAGTTTTAAGTGATTTGGAAGCATAAAGAGTTTTTGAGAATTTTTTAAATAAAAAGATGTATTCAAAGGTTTTGGATTTTGAGAAAAAAAAATAAAGCTTACATATTTGAAGAATCTGTAGATATTATAGCAAATTCACAAGTAAAATATTGTAAGTTTGTTATTTTGCTTTTCTTAATTATATTTTGAAGGTATAAACTATTAAAAAGTATTATAGTGGTATTTTAAAAATATTAGCAATATATATGTATAAACTATTAATTTCTTATGTTTTATGTTAATATTTTTTATATCTACTTGAATATCATATGATTATGATTATTTCTCTATTTTTTTATAAAAAAATCTATATAATCAGTTAATAATTACATCTGAAACTATTATTATTTTTTAATTTAATTTATAATTTCTTATTAAAAAAATTATAAGTTCTTCAAACCAAAAAAGTCTTATCAATCCTAAATGCATGTATGATAGTAAATTAATTTTAAAAAGAGTTTTTTTAGATGGAAAATCAATATCTTATTTTATTTTAAGTATTTTACTTGAATTAATTAAATTTATAAGCATCAAAATATAATCCAATAAATAATAAAAATATATTTTAAAGTACATAAAATTTTATAAAATATTTTATTATTTTCTTAATCTTTTTTAATGGTTGACTATAAAAAAACTTAAGTAATTTTACAAGAAAATACATGTAAATTAAAGATAGATAATAGAAAAGTAGAAAGAATTTATGATCTAAATTTTATTGTAGCTTTTAATCTAATTTTAGTTTTGATATGATTATAAGTAAATTATAATTCATACAAAAATATGACTATTTTATCAAATATTTACATCTTTAAGTATAATTAAACCGATTATTTATTAAAAACTTAATAGAAAGTACTATTAAAATATTACAGTTTATTATTTAATTGATTGTAATTTTTTTTGTCACTTGAACTTGGACAAATTTGTTTTGCTAAAATACGAAGATTAAAAGACATTGTTGCAAGTTTTTGTTGTGTAATTATACTGATGATTGTTCTTTAAATTTTTAAATAATGATAATAATAATAATAATAAATCAATGAATTTTTTATTATATTTATTAATTATAAAAATATAAATATAAGTAAATTTATTTTAACTAATTTAAATAATTTTAAAAAATATAAGTAATATTTTGAATTCAAAAATTATACTATTATTTAATAAGGACTTTTATTTATATAAGAACTAATTCCTTTTAAACTTGTAATGATAATTTGAAATAAAATAAAATAGATTTTAATATTAAAAGTAAAATCATTTTTAGTAAAAATATTATAATAAAAATGGTAGTAATTAATATTTATAAGATTTTATAAAGCTCAATAAATTTGTAATTGAATTTATTAAATATGAGATGAATGCATTTAAAAGAAATTAGTGAGATGAATGCATTTAAAAGATGGCTTATGAAAAATTAAAAAAATATATAGAGAGCAACATGTCTATTTTATATACAAGAATGATCATATAGTTTGTGTAAGTAAATATATCTAATAAAAAAATAAATCTTAATATCTAGTTGAGAGTATAAGAAATAGTAAAGTATAGAAATCATTCTTCTTAAAGCCTTATAATCTAGGTTGTTTGTTTCTTCTCTAGCATCCACATGGCCTTGCCTTGCCAAATTTCATATAATTATGTAGTGTTTTTTGCCACCCAACCTATGTTAATTACCTCTATTACCCAATAAAAGTTAATAAAAATCAATCAATTATCAAAAATTACAGATCATTACCTTTTTACTATAAAACTCAAACATTTTTAAACTTTTTATTCTTCATTGAAGGTTATTAGCTTTTGAGAGATTAATAATTAGATAAGAAAATATATATATATATATAGTTGTAATTTTTTTCAAATCATTTTAAAAGTCCTATTATTCAATAATAGAATCATATAATAGATTTAAGATAATAATAAAATTATGCATTAATATCTATATCAAAAATAATAAAGACAAAGTATGTATGAATTTTGTATGTTTTTTTAATTAAAAAAGCCGAAATAATAAAAAATATTTATCTTTAATAAATTCATTAATAAGCCATAGATATTTTATATAATTTTTGCTATAATCTATTATTGCTAAAATCAAATTTTATTAGATATGGATGTTTCTATGATTTATTATTGAAAAATCTAAGAATTATTAGTTTATATTGTATAATATCTTTCCAATATGTAGACCAAAAGCAATCAAAAAAATTATGTGATAGAACTTGAGATAATAAATGATCTACAAGACATCTTTTTATAGTATTTTTATATAAAGTTTAGGTTTTTATTTTTATTTATATATATATATATTATTTTAATTGATATAAATTTTTATTGTAGAAAATTTCTTCAAAAATTACAAAAGTTTAAATTTTATTCTTGGTCATTTATTATAAAATTAAAATAATAAAAATAGAAGCTCTTAAAATAAATATTATTAATATTATTTATAAATATTTAGTATTTTAATATATTAAAATAGAAAACCTTTATAAAAATATATTATTTTTAGATATTAAATGTTGAATATATTATGTATGTAAAGCATTACAAAAAAAACAACTGATTCGCTAAATAAATTATAGCTTTTATATTTATACATTAAATACAATACTAGTCTTATATTTTGGATAGTTATCTAAAATATTCATGTATAATAGAGTTGAATAAAAAAGTTATTATTTTTAATAGATCTTTAAAAAATTCTAAATATGTATCTAGTGATTATTTAGTATTTTAAATTTTAATTAATTAATTGCACAAATTGAATTTAGTAGATAGTGCTGATTTATGTAATATTAATATTGAATTTAAAAGATTATAGTTTAGCTCTAAAGGACATTCAAAGTCGTAAATACAATCAACATTACAATTTAAGTTTAATAACAAATTAGTATACAAAGTTATTTGATATACATACATATATATATATATATATATATATATATATATTGTAATAAAATCTAAAAAATATACCAACACAAGAACTAACTTGAATATGTGGTGGTCTATGAAAAATAGTTTCTAATATCTAAATAAGCTCTTAAATTTGATATAACAAAGTATATGTTATAGAAGTTGCTTAAATATCTTCAAAGAACCAAAAATCATCAAATTTTTATTTTATTTTATGATTTTGACTTTAGGAGATTGCTTGAAAAAATAGTATTGTAATTTGTATCCAATTTAATATCAATTCTTGTCATAATAATGTTAGCAACAAACAATAAAAATATTTTATAACTTTATATTATTATAAATATGTAAAAATAAGTAAAATTAGGTATCAATTATATTATATATTTGATCGATCCTATTGCAATATTTTAAAATACCAACTATAACAAATGTATAAAGAATCTTATTTAAAGGAACAACTTTAATAATATTTGCTTTAAGATTTTTTATTTTATATATTGAAGAAGTAAAAAAAAGTTATTTACTATAGAAAGAATTATACTTTACACAAAATCGAAGGTTGTAGCAGAATTAACATCAAAACTTTAAGGAAGAAAAAAACCAAATTTTAAATTATTTGCATTCTTAGGCCTCTTGAAAGTTCATTCTCAGCAGAAACCTTAAAAAAATTAAATAAAAAAACTATGTTAAACCTAAAGTAATTATTTTGTTAAAAAATTGTTGATGCATATATTAAAGTTGCAAGTTATATCTAATTTTGTGGTTTAAGTACATCATTTAATATATATACATATATATAAATTTTAAACCTAAGAACTTAAAGCATATCTAAGAAAAATTTATAGCACGTAAAAAAAATATTTTAATAAATTAATTATTATTTTAGTATGAAATAGAAAGTAAAAATATTATTTATAATTAAACTTATAAAAATTAAACACAAATTAATAAATTAAATTTTTAGGAATTAATAATTTAAGAGTTAAAATTTTAGCTACAATAAAGACACAAAAATCATATAAGCATTTTAGCATATAAACCTTATACAAGTAGATTTATTTGAAGAAAAAACCAATGCCCTAGGTAATACCATTTTTTGCATTATTTAAAAATCAATTCTCAAATTATATAGAGAAGAGTAATTTAAGCAATAATTACAAAGATTTTTTAAATTTTTTATTTAGAATATCGACACATATATATATATATATATATATGTATATAATTTGAATTTACAATCTGATAATGTAATAAATAACCTAAATTTTAATGTACTTTTAAAAAATCCTATGAATATAATCTTCTATTTGAAAAAAAATCAATACTTGGTCTTCTGTATTACAATTGTGTAATCACGATGAGAGTATTAATGATTTACACCAAATCCAGAATTCCAGAATTGCTTATTGGTCCATTCCACATCAACACCAACTTCAATGAATGTGAACTTAATATATTCACCACAAAGTGACAAGATAAACATATAATATCCAAAGAATCCAATCAATGCATTATTCTTACACATGTGGCTGAACAATAAATTGATCGTAAAGCAGCAACAGCATGCATGTCGCAAGAAGAGAGCCTAACGTATGAAGAAATTTCCTAAAGTGCACTTGGTTTTTGAGCTAGATGCAACTTTTGGCAACTTTTCTCTACTAAACTAGTCAACCGGGTTCGCTTGGAAACGCCGCTGAACATGGCTCGCACGTATTTGATTTATATCTTTGCTGCCACGTTGTCAGTCTGCACCCCAAGTGCAATTGACAGACATGATGCACCCAATGATCCTTAACCACCCAAAATGAGATTTTCCTTTCTCACATGTAAGCGACATAGCAGTGGACGGAGAGCTGGAATTTGAGGTGATTGTTCTGATAATGCAATTTTGTACAATCAGGACATGGGGAAAGAAATCTTGCACCCAAGTTGAATTTTTCTCGTTGCAACCAAGACCACCACTTTTTGTCTCGTAATCTGCTTCGCAACTAGCAAAGTCTTGATACAGGAATTGTCTTAATGATACTAGAGAGTTGTTCGGAATGTTGGTCGTCTTTGACATGTCTCAGCTGGATTGCTGGAGATGATATGGATTTCCAGTCTTTCTGTTCTTGAAACGCTTCTCAATCAAAAGCTCTTCATCGATTGCATCCCTTGTGGTTGCAGACAGACATCGTTCAGCCGCAACTCATTCAGCCGCAATGTAGCAATCCACAACTCATTCAGCCGCAAGTTGGCACCCAATCATCCAAGTGACTAGAGAATGCAGCATCGAACCTGAGAAACGGCCCCCAAAACCAACCAGACGTGATGCCTTTGAGGGTATCGAAGAAAGCTCTACCTGGAATGGCTGGATCTCCCCAAATAAGGCCCGAGATCATGCTCAACTCATTACTCAGTAGGTGATGAAGTGCAGTGAACGAAACTCCCTCCCCCATACTTTTGACATAAGCAAACTGCGGCTCCTAAAGTCATACTCCAGGCCGTGATGGGATTGAAAACCCAGTTGGATTGGAGAGTTCTGTGGAAGTCTGGCGACAAATTTCTATTGTGGAAGGCTCTTGTGGTGATTGTAGCACAGAATTCCTGGCTTTCACGATCGAAGTCACCCCCTCAAGTCTATTCTTCGTAGTACCTTTACAGCCTCCCTCACCTTCGATTCCATACTAAGAATGGGATCATGCAAGAAGTTGGCAGATATCATGAGAAATCAGAAGAAGAAGCATCTACTAACTTGGTTAGAATCTGAGGCGATCCAAATATTCGTGTGCTAAACTTCACCGAATTTCCAAGCTCACCGACACATGTGGAATGAAGGTTGCAAAACTGCCGAGTCGCAAACTTCCAAAGGACGGCATTGATACTACTACTACAGAATCTATATTATGAAATGAGGAAATGTTTGATGAAGAAAGGTTCCTTGTGAAAGAAGCAAACGATTAGAAGGTGGACAAATCAGATGAAAGATTTCACTGTTTTAATTGTATTTTTATTTTGTCAATTAAAGTATGTATTTAACCTCACGAGAAATGTATTTGATGCGGAATATGCATGAACGGAGAGATTAATTAGAATTTGCAAGAATTGTTTGTGTACTCAGTGATGTAGGTTTTTGCTAGTTTAGGATAAAAATAGTAAAATACTTTTTACTACATGAAAAAAATGTAATTTGACTTATTTTGAGACGCTACCTCATGCCCAAAAATATCCGTGATTTGAAGCTAATATAATTCTTTTTTTAGTAATCTTGCAACACGCAAAGTAAAATTATGATTTTTGTGCTAATTTATTTCAAAAACAAAGAATTTAACATTGTTTCAAATATCTTTGAACTAATTGTGATATTTATACACTGATGTTTTTAACATAAAAAAATGACAATTTGATGATTGAAATGAACTAATAAGTATAATTAATAGATTTGTGATAATTTTTTGCTGTAAGATATTATGAATCATTCTAAAAATGTTGCTTTACTAATAGAAATGAGATTTAGGAAATAATGAAATTATGCATTAAAAGTCACATAATCTTAAAACCTTAAATTTTTCACATAAATTAAAATTATGCATGTATATAGGAAACAGACACAAAATCACGCCACAACGAAATAAACATATAACGTATATATATATATATATATATATATATTCACTAAGGTTTAAAACAACCTACATATATAATCGGATCTTTAGTTCTAACTATTTATTTGAAATCAGTTTCAATAGACTTTGGTTTTTTTCAAAAAAGTTTTACTAAACATGTGACAAATAAAATCAATTATTGATGATAGTAGATGAACAAACAGAACAAGAAAGTGGGTGTATTTTTAGTTTTATTTTAAATTAACAAAAAAATGAGGTCTATTTTATTCTTTTATTTGTATTGATTAAAAACAAGTTAATTATAACAAGTTAAGCTTCAGATTTGATTACACAACAAGTAAAGCAAACTTTCAAACATTCCTAAAGTCCAAGTATATAACAAAATAAAATAAATGAATAAATAAATAAAAAATCAGTCAAGATAAGACTTAACAAACAGTCAAAGTGCGTTGTCATTTCAAGTGCAGATGACAGTTGTCACGAATTTAAAACAAAGTTGAGCTGCCCGAGATCTGGGGCACTGCTAAAAAAACAAATGAGCCTCTGCCCAAAAAGGAACAAAACAAAACAAAACCCAACTTCCATAATAGTGAGTTACGTGTCATTGCTGAAACTGCCTAGAGATATGCTGAAGCATGGAAAGTGCTTTTTATATTTATTTTTATAACTATTATTTTGACTGTATTCCAAGTCCCCTACTGATCCCATGTGCACACTTTCCAAGTGGTAGTACTAGAACCCATCAACAAGTCCCCTTTGAAGAAGACCTTTTCCATGTGGAACCGTCATGGCAATCCCCCCATAGAAGTGTGCTCTTCATCCCAAGCCATGTGACAACCCCAATGTATCACCTTTTTGTGGTTCATTTTCTTCTTTGTCATTTTGTGGCTGTTTGGGGTACTGTATCACCTTTTTGCAGCCACTAGCACCCCCATTCACATCTTCTCAAATGATGTGACTGCTTTCAAACATTGATTAGTTTCCTTCCTTTTTTCTCATGGTGTTTTGTTGTATGATGATGCATGCCAATCCAAAAGTAGATCCTAAAAAAACGAAATAAAAAGAACAAAACAAAACAAAACCTAATGCAATAAACACCAAAAATACAAAATGGACATTACCCACCTTCGCATGAAGCAAGAAATGAGTCGGTTAGAGGGATCATATGCATAAATATATATATATATATATATATATCTATATTAATAAAATACGGGACGAAGGAACGGAGCAAGATCCGGAATCAAGGGGGTCACATCCACACGAGATTCAGCAACACCAATTTCATCCACCGGAGTAATCACAAGCAGATGAAAGAAGGATGAACAGAAACGTCGGGACAGGGAGGGATGATGTCCACATCGGAAGGGCATTGATGACGACGCAGAAGAAGAGCGGGAGGATAAACTTATAAGAAACCTATAAGCGAAAGGCCGCGCTTATAATGCCAGGGAGGCGCCAAGTCAGCAGAATGGCTACGCAGGGGTCAGCGGGTGGGTAGGGGACAATGGAGGGGAGCCGCGTGGATGCCATGTCAGCCCATTTACCACCACTTGCCTCGCCCGGGCATCCTTCATTGCCTGTCTGGGCTTACTCTCATACAGTCGTTCGTTCGACGGCCCCCCCCCCCCCCTCTCCAGGCTTCGCTTGGCTTTGCTTTGTTATGCTTTGTTATGCTTTGTTATGCTTTGTTACTTTTATTATGGAGCTTGCGCGATCACCACTGCTCTGCTCCGCTCCGCTCTCAACATCCTTCTCATCATTCTCCTCGTCATTGTTATCATCGTCATCTCTTTCTTCAGTGAGTGAGAGAGTGAGGCAGTGCGCACTTGTGCACACCCATAATCTTAACCCCACCCCACCCTACCTTTTCGGTATCTCTCAATCGGGAGCAATCATTGCCTTTCCATGCCCGCACCGTCCTTCCGGTTTTGGTTTTCTGTTTGGTTGTGTGTTTTGCGTTCGTAGGGTTGCGCGAGAGGGGGACGCGCATCGTCTCATCTTGTCGTTGTTGTTGTGCAGCTTGCGGTTCTTGCCGCTTCTCGCTGCTTCGGCTGCTGCTCTCTCTCTCTCTTGTCGTCTCTTGTCTCTTGGCTCTTACTTCTGTCGGGGCGGGTAGTGAGGGTTTTGTGCGTTGTTCGTGTGAGGGCGACCGAGTTTTTGGGGGAAGAGTTTGTGTTTGGGACTGAGGGTGAGTGTGGTAGCGGCAAACGGGGTTTGAGGAGGAAGAGGAAGAGGAGGAGGAGGAAGAGGAAGAGGAGGAGGAGGAAGAGGAAGAGGAGGAGGAGGAAGAGGAAGAGGAGGAGGAGGAAGAGGAAGAGGAGGAGGAGGAAGAGTTTGTAAGCAAGAGGGCGCGGTGTTAAGTGAGGCGTGGTCAGGGTCGAGTATTGTGGTCTTTGAGGATTTTGGTTTGTTGGTTGCGGGAATGGGAGATTGTGGTGGGTGAAGCATTGAGCACGCATGCACTTGGTAGTGGTTAGAGTGGGAAGTAGGCTGTGGTTTTGGTGAGTCCGTCAGTTGTGTGCTTTGTGCGGAGGAAGGTGGTGACCGGTGCTTGAAGGGCTGGGGTTTGACTGGGTCGTACTGGGTCGGAGGGGCAGTTTTGGGGAGTGTGTTTTGTTTTCTTGAACTGAAGATTGCATCTGTCTGTGATGCGGTTTTCAGAGAACAACTGACTTCTGGGTGTAGTTTTTTGTTGTCTTACGCTTCTTCTTCTTCTTCTTCTTCTTCTTCGTCTTCTCTCTTTTATTTTGTTTTATTTTCTCAATATGTTTTTTGAAAATGTTCTGAAATGTTTTTAGTTTATTTTTGATATCTCCTCGAGTATCTACATCCACAGTAGTTGATCTTTGGCGACGAAATTGCTTTCGTACAAGCTCGTGCCTCAGATTTAGTCGGGGTCGGTCGTTGTTTATTTTTATTTTTATTATTTTAAATTTTGCGGCTGGGTAGCTGTTGGCATCTTGTATACCGAAGGTGCAGAAGATTGTTTGTCATAGCAAGGATCACAGAGACTCGAAGGGAAGTGCTGAAGTATCGCTGCGGTGCTAAGTCTCTGTCGCGTAGGATTATCATTTTTCCTCCTCACACGCAAAGGGCAAAGGTCTACTCTAAAGCAGCCCTGGGCACTGGAGGTTAGCGGTGTGACTTTGCGAACGCGGCACTGAGAGTTGGCGCAGGGAAATAGTGTGCGTTAGACCTGCCGAACATTTAAGGTTATCTAATTTAGCGAACTACACTCACAGGTTTTAGAGAAGTGTAGAGTACGATTTTTCTGGGTTGGGAGTGATGGAATATCTTTGATATGCCCTGGTTTACGCACATCCGTCCCGAGGGAGCGCCACCGTGCAACATTTTAGCAGGTGCCTTTCATACCCATTCTCCCATGGTGTTACAGGAAAATAAAATGAAAAATGATACAAAAGCCTGATAATCGTCGGGTACATGTAGAACTACATATTTGCTTTGCCTTCCCCACATCCGAAATAATTGGACACATTTAACACTCAGCAGTTCCTGTTAACTAGACTGTCGAAGTGACTTATGAAAGTGAATTCATTGCACTAACCTTCATTTAAATTGTTCCGCCTTGTAGGAATCATATAGCGTAGCTGTAACAAGTTGTACTGTGTGTGTATTCTAGGGGATGCAAGCCTCTCGACTACAACTCGGGTTGAAACGCAAACAGGAGTCGTGATAGTTGTTTTGGGTGGATTCAACAGGATCAACTTCGATGCAAATTATTTAGAAAGAGAACACGGAGTCGGAAATTATGTAGATAAAATTTCACTTTTGACTTGATGCATTTTAGTACATACACATGCCCCCCTGAAGCTTCCCAGCATTTCATTCATCCAACCTTGTTCTGCTATGGTGAACCAAGGCAGCGGGGATTTCTCTTCTCAGGATGGATCCCTTCCATCCTGCTCCTCTACTTCATCTGAACGAAACCAGTCCTCGGGATCAGGACTTGGTGAGGGGTGCTCGCTTCTTATGGATGACGAAGTGCGTGCTATGCTAAAGAAGGTGACTGTAAATGAGGCTGTTTTGAATCGAGCTATTCAGAGTTTGGGCGGTGGGGAAAAAGGGCTTAAGAGTTTGATGGGGTATATCATGATATGGGTGAAGCAACAGAAAGAATGCAAATCTGCTCGGTCCAATAGCGGTGAACAATCTTCTGGTTCACCGTTCAATTTCTCCATGTTAGGAGCAGAGGCAGCAGCAGAGGCAGAGGCGATAGTTCTTCAACATACTTCTGATGCTTTTCAATCTTTAAATGGAATCCTTCAGCCTTCTGCTACGCAGTCTCCTGTGAACCTGCCAGACACGCAACATCAACAGCGCTTTAAATCTCGGAGGCTAATGATGGAAGACGCGGAGGTTGATGCTGGCCTCAAGGTAGATGCTGGATTTTGTCCTAGCAATTTCATGGCTGTGGGTGTACCCCCTGGAGACTATTCAATGTACATGCCTGCGATGGCTGGTCCTGCAGTTAGTCCATATATGCCACGGCTTAACTACGACAGTGGAATGCAGCAACCAGTGTGCAATATGCAGTCAATGATTCCCTCAACAACATCACAAAATAGCATGCAGCCCATTGAGCAGACTCCCGCCATGGCCACAAAAGCAGCAAGAAGGAATCGAATGGCTAGGCAGAGGCAATCCATGATGAAACAACACGCGCGAGCAACCAATCAAGCTAATCCTGTTTCAGTAGGTTTTTGGGTATGGAATGGTGCACCTCCTGCTGGAGGCACGAAAAAAACGGAGATTTCACACTCCGGTGCTCAGCCTGCTCAAGGGACTGCTGTGAATGCTGAACAGAAGGTAAAGTCCAGTAGTTTTTCGGGAGATTTGTCCCACAAATTATACCAATCCATTGTAAACTGTTTGTCATGTAAGAGTATACTTATCGAATGGCTGTCATCCTCGTTTAAATATAATATCGTATATACGTTTTCGAGAGCTTTACACTGGAGGCGAAGCTCAGTATGTTACTTTTTGTAGCTCTTTATTATTCAAATTTCGAATTATGAGGAATGCGCGAGGAAGAATGTTTTTCCCCCTTACAAATTAGGAGGAATTGTTGGCTTTGTCATGAGTTTGGCATCTCTCAACTGTCGGTTGATCGTTAGGTCTGTTTTTTTAGATCATGGTTTTAGTGATTACGATATAGTTTTGTATCGACTCACTAGACACGGCATCGGTTGTCGAGTTTGTTCAAACGCTTACCCACCCATACTTATGTTCAATGTCTTTGAGATCTTTGATAACTTCGACAGTTATTTATTTTGAAGAGACTGCAGGTTTACAGTACAATCTTTCTTTATTGATATATCAATCAATCTAAAGCATGGTTGCAATTTGTATCCAGGGGCGCAATATGGATTCTTTGACTTTTCTTCTGCAAAAAGAACTTCGCCCAAGTGATGTTGGCAGCCTGGGGCGCATCATACTTCCTAAGGTTAGTCAAATGCTTCTTATTCCTCTGGATGCAGAGACTAGTGCTGCCTTGAATGACTAGTAGGATTTTCTGCAATAGTTTTGGGCACTGATTTGCCATTCCCCATTACATTTGTGGTTTTTTCGCAGAAAGAAGCAGAGCAGCACATGCCCTTCCTTAGTATGCGAGGAGGTGTCTGTATACAAGTTGAAGATTTTGACTCGGGTCATATCTGGAATCTCAGATACAGGTATGGATTAGCTTTTAAATCGTATATTTCCTTTTCTTCTCTGGATTTTACGACGAGAAATTGGTGGGCAGAGTTGGAAGTAAGTTGGAGTTTGTCGTTTAATCATTTAGTTGTTCCGTGCCGTTGTACGTGTGTTGGATTCCCTTTTGATATTTTCCCGTGTTCAGTGAGGGTCCGAAGTTTTCCTATTCCCCCTAGGCTTCTTGATCCAAGTATTATCCTATTTTTTATGAGAATTTCTCTTGATTGAGAGCATTCTTGTATCTTTTTGGGATATCGTGATCAATGATGGGTTATGGAATAATTGCCTACCTATGAGTTCTTTTGTGATCTTTTATTTATCAGTTATTCTGGACTTAAACCTAGAACAATTCATAAGTTTCTGTGCTTCTTCTTCTTCTTCTTTTTGTTTTTTGTTTTTTGTTTTTGTTTTTCGTTTTGTGTGTGTGTATGTGTTTCTTGTTCCTTTTGGGTTCTTATTGTGGGATCAAGTTTTTTGAGACCCTGAAGTTTTATTGTTCCGTGTTGTGGCTTGTGGGTTCTCATTTTTTTTCCTATCTTTGAATTGGAGTTTGCTGTTGTTTCCTTTCAGTGTAACACCTCCGCCTAAAATGGGGTCATCACCCTTATCTAAATCCGCTACTCCATCGTAAGTGTGGATGTTGTCGTTAAGAAGGTTTTTTCTCAGCTTAAGTGTTCATCTACATCCGGTATTAGCATTGGTGTGAAAGGGAAAGTTCGCAGTTTTAACTGGCCTCCGTCTGAACAAAAACTAAATGCTCAAATTGAATATTTAAGTGATCAGGATAATTTATGTAGCAGTAATCTGGGTGTCGTGGTTCCACCCAAAGTTTCAATAGTTTGTATGAATGCTTTTAGTTGGTCTCAATCTTCTTTAAAACCTGTGTACTCACTTGCTTTATGTTTTTTTGTGTGTGAATAGGTTTTGGCCAAACAACAAAAGCCGAATGTATCTATTGGAGAATACTGGTGAGTACGCGTGTTACAATTAGAGATGAAAATCTTTTACTGTAAAGTAACCATTCGAACATTGTTGAGTTTGCATGGAACACTTGCTCACATTTACACATGCAATATCTGATTATGATTATCGGTTACTCCATGATTTGCAGGAGATTTTGTGAAGTCACATCGTTTGGTTGAAGGAGATCTACTCATAATTTATAGAAGTCAGCAAGGGGATTATGTAAGTGTCCTCCATTATTATTCTTCATTCCATCTTTGCTACCACATTTGTGTTGCAGTAAGATGTGCATCTAGTTGAATTGTTTACAGCCTTATCTAGGATTCGACATGTGAAACGGTAGACGTTATTGCAGGTTATGCGAGGAAAAAAAAGAAAGACGCAAAGGCTAGAAACTGAATCTGTTAAGATTCAATTTGCACACAGCTCGGCTAGAGATTCCAATGAGGAACATACCTCTCCGAAAGGTAATGGTTTACCCATGGAACGACTGTATGGAGGCGGACCTCCAGAAAAGTTTGTGAAGGAAGAACCACCCAATCTGGATGACGATCCATTTTTGAAGGATATGATGATGAGTATGGGTCCATCCTTTGGTTCTGATGCCACTTCACTCCAACCTTTGGAGCGGTTTCCCAGTTTGAACTTGGATTTCCCTCTGGATGAGATTATGGCGGTGAACCCCAAGACAGAGCTGGAGTAGTCCATCACTGGTTTATCTATTGAAGACAGTTTTTAGGTTTGCTGTGCTAGAACTGAAGGCGATTCGCGACTTGAACTAGCGTTTCATCATGGATCAGGTTCATACTCCACAAGAACGTTAGGACGAAGGTGGTCATGTTTAGGAGGTCGGCGTGCTGCACCTCAGCCCCTAATTGCGCAGGACGTTCTTTTGCCAAGTGAGTTGGATTGCAGGTTTCTTTTCAATTGAGTCAGGAGTGCTCCCCACGGGCACAGGAGGATGACAATCTTCTGTCGGTGGCACACGATGTCCCACTAGTCTTTTTTTTAAAAAAAACCGTTCAAAGAAGGATTCCTTGTGGTCTCATTGAATCTTTCCGACAGGCAAGTTGCAGCAACTGTGGGATTTTTAGTGGTTTGTACTTCACGGTTGGCTGCCCCCACCTTTATTTCTTAGCCCACCCTCTCAAGTTATGTATACGGAAAATGAGTTTTTGATCTTTGCAGGAAAACTGGAAGCCGCACCGTGAATATGCTTTGATGTAGAGTTTTCCATCCCAGATCATCCCAGGATCTAGAAACTAGTTTAATGTAAAGGATCGTCCATTCATCTCGGCTTCCCAGAGGATGCTTCGTTATCCATCTGTCACTGATCCCTGTGTCGACTGGCATCCATATTTGATGTAGCATAGAATTCAACTCTTATTTTTATTATATTTTTGTAGATATCCACTTGGAACTTTCAAAATAATTTTATGTACTATCAAAAGTTTTTTATTAAAAATAATTACGTTGGCACTAAGAACCAACATGAACAAATGTACAGATCAAAACCCATTAATCACCAAGACCTAAATCTATCCACATGTTCCAAAACCATACCGTGAACGGTTCATCAAAATTGGCGGAGAGCCAATAAGCTCGCCTGCCGAGGCAACGGAGGAAATGGTACCTGCCAGATAAGCGCAGCCCATCCAGCGAGACGAATTCTGCTTGGTGGGTGCCACACCAACATACAAGGTCAGGAATTGCTTCTAGCAACGGCACTCGTTTGAAACCCCCAAAAAAACAGCCCGTAGCAACGAGGCGACGTCCGCTTTCTGTCTCACAAGAAGAACCATTTTCAGTCAAAACTGCGCGCGACCACGTTCCGACGTTGAATCGTCGTCGTCTACAGGGAGAGGGAGACGATTCCGTCTCGGAAGGGGGTCCCGCATCGAGAGAGAGCTATGGAACCTTTGCTGTTTGTTTGTTGGTGGTAGCCCGTTGCGAACTGGATGCCGTCGTCCGTGGACACACACCTTGCTGTTGCTTCTGCTGCTGCTGCTGCTGCAGGGGCGTACACTGCGAGCGTCTCAGTAAGTTGTCTACTGGAGCTCTATGGTTGGTTTTTCGGATCTTTCGTACGTGTCCTTGTTAGTTCCTTCCTTCCTTTCTCCTTCTTCTTCGACCCACCTTCTCAATCTTCCGCGTTTGTGTAAAAATGATTTCAGCGTCTTTCGTATTATGAGTCGAGTGATCGAGCGACGTTGGGCGAGAACGGAAGCGTTTCTGGAATTCGGGATCGTAGTTGAGGGTGTGGGTGTGCTCTTAGAGCGATCAGAAAGGGGTTCGCCGCTCGTCGTTAGTAGGTCGGGTTGAGCGACTTGGGCGGTTTGCAGTTGTGGTGGTGACGAGATTTGGAGTGGGTTGGAATGGCGTGGAATGCCGTCCGATAGTTTGAGCTGAAGAATGAATGCTAGGTGTGTTTGGTGGTTTTGTGGTGCTGTTTGTACTGTTTGATTGTGCCATGCTGTGGTTTTTTCTTGGTTATATTTCTTTTTGAGCGTGCTTGGGGTTTGTATAAGAAATTTCGAGCGGTGTTTAAATAGCGTGCAGTTGAGTTGTATCAGCATGGTAGGAGGGTTAGTGCAATTCAGACTAATTCTCAACGTTGTCCGAGTACATGTGGCTGTGACGTTGGGTACGGAATTTTTGTAGCTGGATTAGGCCGAAGTGAAGCGTTTTTTCCCTTTAATTGTTCAATGCGTGTGTTTGTGGACGTTTTAGGTCTCTGGATGCCTGTAGTTTTGTCTTGTTTTTGTACTGAGTTATTAAGCCGTAGGGTTTTGATAATACGTTAAGTTTGTGTTTGTGAAACGCCATATGATTGTAGAATGTGGCAGATGTTCTTGTGCGTCTGATTGTGAATTGTTGATGTATTTTTCCTCCCATCGATGGCTGGTCGTTATGTACATGCGATCAAGTGATCCAGTGTCATTCCATGCTTGTGCTAAACAAGGACAAGCACAGGTGTGAAGTTATTGTTGAGTCCATACAAACTTCTCTGTGGTACTCGCTGGAATTTCGAATTCAGTGTTATTTCATGCGAGTCTTTTCAACCGATGTGATCTTTGTACTAGCTGTGATCTAAGAATGTAGTTATTTTATTATTATTATTATTTTTTTTTTTATAAATTTGATTTGCAGTGGCATCAACATAATGTGGCGTTTGTTTTCTCCCGTTCCAATCAGAATAGCTCTCTACTAAATGTTACCTGTTGTTGACCATCTCAAATTTGCACCAAATTCTTTTGTTTGTTGTGTTGGTTTAGTTTTTAGATACGCTTGCAATTTTCGTAAGGTGACATGTTTCTTGCACTCCCTGTTTTGTATTGGTATTTAACATTTTTGCTTCTCTTCCCGATGCGTGGTTTTCTCGTTTAAACACCCTTAATTTGGAATTTGTATTAACTGTCAAGGTCAGAGACAACGTGCTGAGCTTTGAGCAAGGAAGGCTCAACCAGTCCTCCTCTTTGCGTTTCAATTGCGTTAAACGATAGGTTCTGTGTATATTTTCTGTTGCTCGTCACATGGCTTGGTTAGCAATATTCCTTCTGATTATCTCGAGTTAATTATTTGTTGTTCTCATGGTTAATTATGAATGTGCGGCTATTCACACGTCATTACCATGGTCGTTTTAATGTAGTCCTGGCTGCGCGCAGGGGTGTAATTACGCGAATTATCATTTTGTCTCACTAGGCCCTTATCAATCATCACAAGGTCCTTATTAATCATCTGCTCAGCATCGCATCCAGGTGGTAATTGGGCAATTACACTTGTTGAGTGTCTTTGTCGCTCAATTTATTTTATAGCCTTGAACTTAAGACTTCTTACTAGCTTCCGGGGACTTCTTGGACTGAACTTAGAGAACTTCAGACGGAGCGGAAATGTCGGGCTTGTAATTATGGTCGGATCCTGCATGAAAACTTCCATCGAATGAAAACCTTTGGAAGTACGTTTATGTTCATGGTCTTAGCTTTTGAGCCATTCACATGCAGGAAGCAGGTTACCCTACATTGAAGAAGAGTCTTGGTCATACTTGAATGTTTTGGGGTTTTGCTTATATATATATATATATATATATATATATATATATATATACACTATTTGGAGGAAGTATATGCTGCTCGTCACATACAAGCTGCCCTTGTCGATTTTGTGGCACTTTGGACATGTTTTTTTGTTGAAACAGTGAGCCATCATGCAGTTTTATCATCATCCCCTGTCTATGAATAGTCAGAAAGTACGGCTTGCCCTTGAAGAGAAGAACATAGATTACACCGCTTTTCGAGTCAATCCCTTGAAGGCCAGAAATCTTGACGCAGAGTTCTTTCGACAAAATCCAAATGGAACACTACCTATGTTGAAAATTGGAGCTCATGTGTTGTGCGAAAGTCTTCCCATTCTCCAGTAAGTTTTTTTTTATCTTACCTCAGCATTTCAGATAATCTTTGTATAATTGTGAATTCTAAGATTCTAAGAATAGTTCTCAGACGAAGAAAAAGATAATATCAACACTTGCAAAGAATAGCTTAAGTTAACCTTTTTCTCTGTAGATTTGGTTCGCACTTAAATATCCAAACTTTGTACAGTTTCATGCAGATCAAGTTTTCACTTTGAAGCTTTTTACCAAATTCCGAAGTTGTTTTCTTGAGTCTTGTGTCATATGCTTATGATACCAATCTTTGATTCGATCGTTTTGCTATTTATTTTTGAAGGCACATTGATAAGCTAAATGAGCCCTTAGGAGAGTACAAAGATTATCGTGAGAGGGCTGAAGAGTGGATTAAAAAGATTGATGAATGGGATGCGAAGCCATTCACGCTTACCCATGTTCCAGATCGAATGATACGTTTTTTCGGTAAATTCAAGAGGAGAGTACTAATAGCGAGGATGGCGAAAAACCCAGACCTCGCTAATAAGTATCACAGCAAGCTGAATAGCATGCATGCTATGGAAGAGCAGCTTAAGGATACTCAAGCCGTTGATTCTAATAGGAAGGAGTTAGTCCTCATGCTGGACGATGCCGAACATCAACTGGCCGGAACTGAGTTTATGGCAGGGGATGTTTTTTCCGTTGCGGATGCAGCTTTTATTCCTGTCCTTGCTCGTATCGAGTTGCTTAAACTCAGTGAGGAGTATCTTCGACCACGACCAAAATTGTTAGATTACTGGGAAAGAATGAAGTGTCGCCCAAGCTACAAGAAGGTGATCGGAGGCTACTCTTCACAACTAAAACAACTGAAGCTTGTGGTTCCATCCATATGCAACGTAGGGATAAGGAATGTTTTAAAAAGATTTTGATATGAGACCCTGGTCTGGAGTTATGCATTTAACCCAGCTTTGTGAAAACTTGAGATTTGTACCTTGTGTTCTACAGCCAGTGTCTAACTTATCCAGTAGTTTGTGGCGTGCCCCCACTGTGCTTCCGGTTGTCTGATTGAGAGGTTTTTCCTGGATTTATTTTGTAGCGTACCATTGTAATAAACATTTGAGGGGAGACCCCCACGATAAGCGTCTGACATGGCCTCTCTGGTCTTGATTTGTACAGAATTGTGAGGATTTGGTGATAGTACAGCTCAAGATAGTTCAACTGATAGGTTTAATAACATGGGTATTCATCTCTTATACTTTGAAACCACTCTTGCAGCTAAATATGCCCACTAAGGAACCGTGATTAATAGCGTGTATCTGCAGACAGGAGTGCCTTGTCTTAAGGACTAATCCCAATCCCAATCATTGCGAGTTTATAAACACGGACCATTCCATCATAAAAATGATGAAAAAATACCAGAATCAACAACATAATTCTGCCGCGATGTAGTGTCTGCAAAGTAATCACATTCTCATTCCGGATCGCAGTCGTCTTTGTCATTGATGAGTGCTCTCGCACGTTTTGCAAGTCTCCTCGATCAGTGTCGTGAAATTAACAGCATGTTGGTTTTGCTGCAGCAATCCGATGCATGAGCTTTAACACCATGGGTATCAATTGATGGCTTAAGTACCGTATGTGCTTGACTTTAACTTGGGTTTGTGAAGCTTGAGCTTTTATGATTTTTAATAAAAGATTCGCATTGCTCATCATTTTCACATGAATATTCTCACATTCTCACCAAGGTGGCTTTGTACAAGAACTGCTAGGAATTCTTAATCATTCACCACCAGTCCAAACAACCCTCGCAACCTCTGTGGTGCAATCTACCAGGGTGTGGCAGCTAGCTCTTCAAATCCTCCCGTCCTCACTCTTCAAAGTCTACGGTACTCGCATCACATCCCTCCTTCCCACGGTAGCTCGGCATCTACCACCAGTACTGGCACACCTGATCAATCGGCTCGCAGGAACTCCAGGATAGATCCCACCTAGAATTAGTAATCCTGGCGAAGAAGCAACCAGGCGCAGCTTGCAGACACAGTTTCAGACTGCTGCAACTTTCCACCACCAACAAAAGTAAAAAGAAACGCTTGTGATTAATCTCTTGATTAACAATTGTGGTTAATCTCCCGATTGGCACGCAGACCCTTTAGTAACTAGTGTGTTACTCGTAAGAAAGAATAACTTCTCCCTTGTTTTTGATAGTGATAGAGACAAGAAGAAGGTGTTCTGTTTTGTACAATTGTTGTGTTCACTTGGTTGTGTACACTGAGTAAAAGTTGTATTTTTATAATCGGTATAAAGTGCTGTGAGACAAAAGGTTATGGGCTTGAAGATTTGAAGCTGGGCAAGATTGACAATCCTTTTTGTTTTCTTTTCTTAATTTGTGTTCACTGAGTGAATATGTATTGTTTACATTCTGCAACATAAGTTCATTGCACACTTTCTAGTCACCATATCCATTTTCTTAATTTTCATTTCAATCATTTTTTTCTACTTACCTTTACATTTTCCTCTCTAGGATTAATATTCTTAACTTCTTAGGCATGTCTAATAAAAAAGACTTAATTGGCATTCAATGTTTCAACAGAATAAAGTTCCACATTTGAAAATGGCAGATTTCTAATTTATTCTGTGCTAAAGGATATATATGATATATAAATGGCACTGCTGAATATGATTTAGATGACAAAGAATAGAAAGAACAAGATTACAATGCATATATATTACTTACTTCTTAGATTGAGCAAAAATTCTTAGCTCTTTTAATTGGTTGTACTATTGCCAACAGAAGTTTAGAATTGTCTTCTAAAAGAATATGAGCATAAGAGTAGTAAAAATATACATGAATTATAGTGCCAATTCTTTGATGCTAAACTTGAAAACAAACAATCAATATTTAATTTCATTGCACAACACAAACTTACTATTAGTGAGTTACGTAAGCTTGACAATACTTCTTTTTCTAACAATTTTATGATATCTAAGCTTACAATTAATCTTCCTATTATTTTTGATAGTTTCACTATTGCTTGAGAGATCACCTTAAGAAAGGATTAAACATTAGCCAACCTCAAAAAGAGGAAATAAAAAATTTACACTCTATTTAACAAGAGACTACTTTTGAAGCCAAGGCTCTTTATGCAAGCTATACATGCTTATCAATAAATAGGAGTTACAAAAGTTCATTATGCAGTGAGAGAGCTCTTCTATGCAGTTTCAATCCTAATATGTTTCCATCCTTTTATTCCAATTTATCATACAACTATTCTATTTTATACTTTGGTTAGGGTTTTCCTACTCCAAGGTATCAAATATCATCCTTTCGATCGATCTTACCCCTAAAAAATCACCACTCTTTTCCTCTGTTTGTTTGCAAATTCTTTGAAGTCATAAATTTGCAGAACTTAAGTGCTGCACATATTGCAATAGTTACTGTCTACTCAGTCACTGGTGGTAAGAATATCCATACATATTAACTACCAATTATATACTCTGATCCTTCTACTCAAGTCTCTTTTGCTGAAACTTCTAACTCAATTATATTTTATCTATACAAAAAGATTCAATATTTAAGTGATTTTCATTTTTCAAATTCTTCTCATGACAACCAATATAATCATATCAACCATTTTCTCTCTAATGAATAAGAACCATGTTGCTTTGATTTTCTACTAGTGTAACATGTACATATACAATGTTAGCCTTCAAAGGTTTATTAAATGGATGGATTTCCAATAATGGAGCTACAAAACATATGATTGATTAGTTATATTGGTTTATCAATTATAAATCATTATCAAACAATGATATATGACCAGTTGAAATTCCAACTTGTCATAAGTGTTATGTCACAAGTACAAGTAATATTATAATTTTAGTACAACTACCAATTGTAATCAAAGTTCATCTTTTTCAATAAATTTTTTATATTTAAGATTTTGGCTAAAATTTATTCAATCTTACAAAGATAGTAAGAGAACAAAAAAAATTCACTCTCTATAAAGATCATACATGTAAGCTCATTTAAGATGATCAACTTATTATGATAGGCCATATGCATCAAGATTCATATATTATTGACTTCATTATCTTACTTCCTCCAATTTTTTATTCTTATAGAGCTTTACATGACAACATATCATCTTCAAAAGAGTTACAAGATTTAAATAGTTGATACCTATACCTTAAGTATTTACATTAAGATACTATAAAATACATGGATATAAATAGTTCACTCGACCATATCAAAATAAAGAGTATTTATTTTCTTGGCATTTGCTCTAGTTACCCATTTCATAAATCTCTCAAGACTACATTTCTATGGAATATTATAAGAACTTAAATTTCTTGATTTAGAATGGTTTTTCATAATCGTATTTGTGGTTCTGTGAGTGTGTCATCTCATGGTGATTTCTTATATTATATTTTATTTCAAGAAAATTATATCTATTATTACTTTATATTCTATATTTTTTAAAAATAAAATATTTTAATTTATTTTTAATAGATTTATAAAACTATTTTTTGTAATACATGCTACAAAGTTCTTACACTATGTACCAATAATATAGATGAATATTGTAGCAAACATTTCAATGATTATCTATACACAAAAAATATTAAATATGAATTTACTATTCTATATATTCTAGAAAAAAATATTGTTTCCAAGAAAAATAATTGCACTATTATTGAAGTTGCTAGAAGTTATATCTATCATGCACATCTTGAATTTACATTTTGGACCAAAGAAATTGATAATATTGTATATATATTAAATAAAACTTGTTCTTGACTTCTTCCTATTGTCAATCCATTTGAAGCTTATATAGGAAAAAAACCCTTTCTTGCTATCTTACAACCTTTTGGTTGTAAAGTCTTCATTCACATTCCAAATAAACTTTGTAAGAATCTTGATGCTAAGAGTCAAATTTGACTATTCTTTGGCTACTTCAATTAATCTAAGGGCCATTGCAAATAAAATTTAGCTCCAAAAAAAGTTATAATAAGCTGCAATATTTTATTTAATGGACATAATTACATTCACATGAAGCTATCCATTGCTATTGAGTCTTTTAGCATTACGTCAATAGAATTTTTCTTCATAATATGACAATGCCTTCTTTTGATGTACATAAATTCTATTCACTATGCTTCAAATTTTAAATTATTAAAATTTTTCCATTAACCATAGACTTTTCCTTCAATATCTATTAATTTTGATTATAGTCTAAATACTATAGGTATACTAAGAACATGACATCTTTTATCTATCTATAATTTCAGATTCAATAAAATTCTTCATGAATGCTTTGATTACATATATAATCCAAATAACAATGATATACAACAACTTCAATCAACTTCTAAACGACTATAATATTTAATCACTACTATGCAATGACATCAAAAATCTCTAGATCAATTTGATTACTTTCAAAATGATTGACGATATTCTTTTATAAACTCAATTTTCACTTTGCCATCTATTTCAATTTTATATTTTTCTATATCATCTTTATTATTATCTCCTCTTGAGGTTCTACAATCATATCCCAAAGCCTTTGCTTCTCCTTATTTGCTACATAAAAAGAGAACCATACAAGATGAATACTAATTTGTGATTAATAATGAAACATAGAAGTTAACAGATTTATATATAGGTTGCAAAGTAATTAATTAGAAGTGGATTTATGTGTTAAAAAAAATCCAGATAATACTATTGATTATTTCAAAGCATGAATAGTGGCAAAAGATTTCTTACAAAAGTTTGGAATTGATTTTACTAAAACCTATTTTTCTAGTATAAAATATAATTATATCCGCTTAGTTTTTGCAACTAGCACATAAAAACACATCCACATTTGGAAATTTGATATCAAAATTGCCTTTTCACATGATTAGCTTGAATAAAATACATATATGAAATAAGTTCAAAAATTTAAAGATCAACAACATCCTAATGCTGTATATCAATTTAATAAGGTATATTAATTTAATAAGGTACTATAGAAATTGATATAGGCCAACCACACATGAAATGAGTGCAAAACATAATTCTTAATAATTCATAAGCTAAAGCAAAATATTATTAATTTTCAATAAAATCAACCCACGTTAATTGCATTTGGTAGTCGAGTAGAGTAA